AATCCCTAAATCCAGAGTTTGATTCCATGTTAAATGAGAGTAGTGGAAAAATGGGGCTGGCTAGATACCCTCCCTCCTATTTGTATGAGACAGATACTTAATCTAAATATAATATGTAAGCAATAGCCTAGATTTCATGTTCTTATTAACTTTTACTTTTTATCACTTCAGCTTGCTCAATTGCACCATCTTGTTTGGAACCAGTTAGTCTTTGCAAAGGGCACAACTCACCATCTGAAAGGTTATGACTTAGACAAAATCGGCCGTGGATGGGGAAATGAAAGACCTTTGTGATTTTCAGTCAGCTGTTTTGCTTATTGAATCGCTCTATGCAGTTAGACACCTCCAGTGAGGCATTTTCAGAATCCGGATTTCATGCCAGTCTCTCGCACCACCATAAAGCAGTGGTGGCAATGCAAGGAGCAAGATAACTGCATGTGCAGGGGAAAAGCTCCTGCCTTTAAACGCCAGTCTGAGAAATACGGAGTTGAAGAGAAGCCAAGGACAAAAAGAAACAAAATTAAGGGTTTTTTTTGCATCTTAAAAACAACATTCTCAGATGCCAAGGATAGAGGTGCTTTAATTCTTGGCTAAAAAGCAGCCCTCCTGGGCTCCCTGCTGAGTGATTTGTTAATTCCCAGCACCAGCAAAATCTGTGGTGCTGACTTTAGAAAAAGCAGCCCCTCAGTACAGAGGATTATCTCTGTTACATAGCGCAGTGACTCAAACTAATTTTCTAGTTTGTGGATTATCATAGTCCCTTGCTCCTCCTCCTTCCCTCCTACCTAGCTATTTCATTTCCCATTAGAACTTTCAGAGATTGGGTAGGGAGTTTGAAACTTACAACTAAAAAGAGAGATTTTTTTCCAAGGGATTTCAATTATTCTCCCTATTTCCCTATCAAAAAATTAACTGTTCAGAAAACATAGTGTTTTCTTCCATTGAATGAACTGATGATCTTTCTCTTGCAACTCTTTGGGATTTAATTAATGATACATTTTAAGATATAGCTCATTTTGTAAAACAAAAACAAAAAACTTGGAGGAAACTGAGGCACAGTAGGCACAAGTAAATATGATTTGTTTTCCAAACGGAGACACTTTTGAGAGTGAAAGGGAGAGCTATTAATAATGTCAGACCACAGGTGTAAACCCAGATGTGGCCACCCTAAAAATCAGGTTGCCCATGGGCGGTAGATAGGCTACCTGGCTCTCCCGGTGGGAGGCTTAGCGCTGTCCTTTTTAATGAAGTCCTCTCTCCTGCAGGCCTGGTTCCTGGGCAAATCCTGCCAAATGGGCTTTCTTTTCCTGATGCTCAGGCCATTCTGAGAGGCCTGGTGTCTCTGGCATCAGGCTGCTCATGGGGCTGGCCCACTGTCAGCAGCTGTGTGTGTTCAGTTCCCTCATGGGGCCCTGTCACAGCCGGCCACCCCTCCACCTGGCAGATTGCCACTGAAGGAAGCATTTTTGTGACAATGGGCAAGAGTATGCCACTTCCTTGCCTCCTGTGATGGGAGTGAGTTCCAAGGTTTCTAGTGCTGGTCCTCAAAGAGGGCATCTGGTTCCACTGCAGACACTCTCAACCTGATGATGAGCAGCTGGCCACCTTTTATCCCCCTGCATCTGATCATGGAACAGAAAACATGCTATGGACATTTCCCTTTTACTCATGGTGGCATTGCTTTGCCTGAATCACCAAGGCGGCACCCTCACACCACCCATATTGGATGCCTCCCATGGGAAGGGCCCCAAGCCAGGCCTGTCACTAACAGATCCCACCTCTGGGAAAGTACCTAGTATCTGGAGATTTTAGATAATTTCTTTAACGTTTCCAAGGAAGTGCAGTAGAAGTTTAGTGGGCAGAACTTTGAGGTTAACATTTCAATGTTAGTGTAGGGATTTTCAACCTCCACACTACTGACATTTTGGGCCACATAGTTCTTGGTTGTAGGGGACACTGTAGGATGTTTAGCAGCATCCTTGGCCTCACCCACTAGATGCCAGCAGCAACCCCTCCTCCAGTTGTGACAACCAAAAATGTCTCCAGACATCAACAAAATTGCCCTTGGTTGAGAATCATTGTCTTAGGGCATTTGGGGTGTGCTTAGGGCCTTCTGGAGCCCTCGTGGCACAGTGGTTAAGAGCTCGGCTGCTAACCAAAAGGTTGGCAGTACGAATCCACCAGCTGCTCCTTAAAACCTCTATGGGGGCAGTTCTACTCTGTCCTATATAGGGTCTCTATGAGTCAGAATCAACGGCAGCAGATTAGGCCCTTCTAGAAGTGTATGCCTCAATCACAGGATTTCAGTGGTAGGGAGTAGCTTAAGGATGGGTTGGGAAGATATAAAGGCCATGACTCCCTCAGGGTTTAAGAGCCTGCAACCCAGACTGTGCTCCACCAACATCTCGCCTGTGCTGCTGCAGATTTTAGCCATGGACTACAAAAATGGTGTGTTTGAGTAAATAAGACCATACTTGCTAATTTACAGCAAGGCTGCATTACAGTGAGGCTTTTGAGTCTAAAACTACAGTATGTGGTTACTATCCCTTATTTCCCTAAAAGGGGAATGCGCAAACACTCGATCAGGACCAAGTGAAATGCTGTATACTGCTTCAGAGCAAGAAACACAGGGTCACAAAAACACAACAGCAGGAGATGGCTGCAGCAGAGAGGAGACTGCACCGGCTCCCTCGCTTTGCACTGGACGGGGCTGGAGCAGCCTGCTGTTCATCAGTGTGTTGACAGCAGCGCTCAGGCAGGAGTGGGGAGATTCACAACAAACTTGCCATCTCATTGCTGTGATGTTCCTGGTCCTTCATGTTAGTATAGGGGACGGCTTCTCATTCAGAATGACTCCCAAGAGCTCTGTCAAGAACCAAAACAAAAAACCCACCACCTTCTCAGGAGGCCAAGAAAGGATGTGGGGTCCAGTGCCTTTGTTGTCCTTCCCTGCACAGGCCAGACAGGAGGGCCATTGTGGCCCTGGTGCCAGCCAGAGCCCTGCCAATGCTGCCTCCCGTGGGCCCAGAATCTGAGGCACCTGGAAGGGTTATTAGCAGGATTGGAACTCATCCTTCTGCTGGGACTAGATCATAATTACAGTAATTTTCTAACAGAGCTCCGTGGTAGGACTGTTTAATCAGCATCTGACTCCTTTGTGCTCCCAGCCCTCATCACTCAAGGAGAGGAGTGGGATGGCTCTTAAAGAGACAGTGCCCGCCTTTCAGCAGTTTGAACAGATGTGCCCTAATTGGTTGAATATATCTAAGTCTCGTAGCTTATAGCAGGCAGGTTGCATTGCCTCCAACAAACTACCTCAGGCTCTCACCATTCCAGGCCTTCTTCCGGAGGGATTCGGGTCAGGCTGCTGGTGGGCCTGGCTTCCCACACCAACACAGCCACCAGGGTAAGGGACACACACTGGGCTAGAGCTCTTGTGGTAGAATCTAAACAAGCTGGCCCCTTCGAAACCGATGGTATGAACGAGTGCTGAAGGATGGGAAGATAGGACTTGACAGCCGTGCGTAAGAAATTTTGACTGGTGGCTTCCTATAATCCAAAGATTAAAGAAGCATCTCTGTGTTCCTCCCCTCCTAGAGAGAAAAATAAAAAAAAACCTTATGGACTTCTGGGTAGTCTCTTAATTCCCCACTCTAGCGTTACCATCTCTACTTACTCATCATGCCCCTTTTCACTGTTTAAGTACCCCCTTGTTTTTCTCCTCCTCCACTTGTGGAAGTCGACCAGATCTTCTCTGAACAGAAGGGAGTAAAACTATTCATTCATTCTGCTCACTGAGTCAGGAGCACTCTGTCTCCTAAAGAGTGTAGTTCCTGGTATCCTTCTGAGCATGAATTGTTCATGTTTATTATAATCTTGAGGTCTCCAGCTTTCCAGCTCCAAATCCAGCCATGGCTAAGGTGGAACTGTCTTACCCCTAGAAGTTATTTCTCTAATGAGATACTAGGACAGGCTCCTACTGCCCTGTTGGTAAGCCACATGCACATTTGGTCTTTCTATCAGTTCCAGAGAAGAGATGGGGCAAGAAGTAAATGAGAGATAGCAAGTGGGCAGGGGGCTTCCAAGACAGGTTGAGAAAACTATCAGGAAAGAGAGTGTAGTAGTAAGAGTAGGAAGGGAGATACTCATCGAAGGTCTAAAGAAAGGTTACCTTGAACCAGGCTACGTGCCTTCTACAGAAGGCCACCAGGGAGGGGGGCGCTTAGGATCAGTGCCCAGTGCTTGACTGAGAAAGTAGCTATCTCACACTGCAGTGGTTATCTGCTTGGCTTTAGCTGCGTCTCAGCTGGCTGCTCACACATAAATCTGCAGATGCCACTCCAGCCCAATTTAATGCTCCTGCAGCCTCTGCGAGGCAGGCTGGGAGCTAGTCTGTTTCCATTTCTACCACCAACCCTATCTTGCATCTTCCAGGCCTACTGCCCTCCCCACCCCTTGTTATTAGGTGCTGTTGAGTCAGTTCCGACTCATAGAAATCCTACAGGACAGAATGGAACTGCCCCACAGAGCTTTCAAGGAGCGGCTGGTGGATTTGAACTGCCGACTTTTTGGTTAGCAGCCGAACTGTTAACCACTATGCCATTAGGAATCTAGGATGTTAAAAAAGATTCAGCAAGAGCTGAATCTTAAAAACAAGTTCACTTTCAAACATGGAGCTTCCTTAATGCCCAATAAAAAAGTCATGATCGCCCCAAGCAAAGCTACTGGAGAGGGTAGGGGATGCCTGGGATTTGTAGATTGAAGTTCTTAGCAGTTAGAAAACTAGAGAACAACTCTGAAAAGCTCTGCAGGGGATTTTTTTTT